TCATTACAGCTTAAACATATTCAATAACAATTTCAAGAGCAAGGATACGTCTCTTTCAAAAGTGGCTGTAAATGTTTAGGTTCACAGTTGAATTAATACAGTTATACAATATTCTGCTCAGTATAAACCTTTTCAGACATGAAATTAAATGAGGTTTTAACCCTTAAAAAAAGATCTCCAATTCATTAGTAAACCACACAGTTTCATACAGAAAAATTCATTTTTAATGCAATTGACACTACGATGCACATGTTTCTAATCTGTATATATCTGATTATTACTAGTCATAGTCAGTTACTTTCTGAGCTCCTTGGCATCTGAGCATGGATATGAAGTCATCAGGTAGATTTCAGTGGTAATGTTTTTCATGTCTGCTAATTATTAAGGGGCAAATTTTTATGCTTTGAAGAATTTTTTTTTCTTTTTTATTTATTTATACGCCCACTTCCCAGACAGCACTCTCCCATAGCCTCCCTCCCCCGACTAGAGCCTTTATACTCTGATATCCCTGCTACTGTCTGCTGTGTTGTCGGCACCCCCAGCCATTCCCCACTACTTGTCCATCTGGTGAATCTAGTCAGCCTATCTAGAGGTCTTGTTTTAGGAAGATCAGCTCTTCTTCATCTAGCAGCAATCGGTTGTCAGTATTCCTTTGGATAAGACTGGGGTCTGCTGTTCTTTCCCAGTACTATGCTGGGTTACTATCTGGGAGTCCCTTTGGACTGTTTTAAGTACGAGAAGATCAAGTGTCAGATTCCCAGGGGCTGGAGTTATAGGAAGCTGTGAGCCATCCAATATAGGTGTTGGGAACAGACCTCAAGTCCTATGGAAGAACAGGGTCCACTCTTAGCCTCTGACCCATCTCTTCAGCCCCTTTATTTTTTATTATTATTTTTATTTATGTAAATGTGTTATTTCTGTGTGTGCACCAACTCTTTTACCATTTTCAATTTGATTAGAAACAGCTATAAAACAATTTAAACACTAGTGCTTGCAACAGTACCTTTGGCCTCTGGACACATGTACACACGGACACACACACACACACACAAAGAGTTGGTGACTGTATAAAGGATTGTTTTATAGGATTCAAATTTCCAATCCTTTTTCCTCAGCCTTTCCAGTGCTGGGATTATAGGTGTGTTCCACTGTGCCCAACTTTGAAATTTTTTTAAAGCAAAGGTCTCATGTAGCCTAGCTAGCCTTGAACATACTGTGCAGCACAGGGTGACGATTCTAAGCATGCTCTGATCCTTCTGCTTCCACCTCACAAGTGCTGGGACTGTGTGCTGAGCCGCCACGCCACACTCTCTTCTCTTCCCTTTCTCTTCTCTTTCCCCTCTTCACCTTCTCTTTCCTTTCCTTTTCTTTTCTTTTTAAAAATATTTTGAGATAGGGTCTCCTTTATAGCTCTAGCTGGCTTTTGTAGACCAGGCTGGCCTAGAACTCACAGAGATCCAGTTTTTTCTGTGTCTTTGCCAGATCTCTCTCCTTTGCTTACTCCTTAATGTTAGCATTTCTTAGGGCTTTACCTTTGTATATTTCCACTTTGACTAGATGCCTAGACTAGATAAATTCATAGAGTCAGAGAGTAGAATAGTGGTTAACAGAAGCTGGAAAAAGGGAGATCTGGGGAGTACGTTTTAATGAGCGTAGAGTTCCTTCTTTGGATGGTGAAAAGTAAGAGTTTTCTGGTGATTGTTACACAACGGTGTAAGTGTATGTTATGCCACTGAACTGTACTCTTAAAAATGGTTAATATGAGCACTTGGGAGGCAGAGGCAGGAGGATCTCTGTGAGTTCAAGGCCAGCCTGTTCTACATAGTGAGTTCCAGGACAGCTGGGGCCATAGGGAGACCCTGTCTCAAAAAGACCAAAAAAAAAAAAAAAAAAAAAGTTAATATGATAAATATGCTAGGTATATTTTTCCACATTTCAAAAAAAGAACTTTGAAGTAAGCTATTAAGATACACCCAAGGAAAACATTGACAGTCAGGAGGTGAAAGGCAGGACAGTGTTATTCTATGTTTTCTGTTTTGGTTTTAACCTGTATAAATACTTCCTAGATAAATTGTATCTGTAAATGCATGTACAGCCATTCAGTTATCAGAGTTATTTTCTAGTGTCACTGTGGATACTTATATTAATTAAGCAAACTCTCATGCAGTTTGGAACAGAAGACTGCAACTATACATTTCAGTGTAGATTTATGCCATGAAAGTGGATATTTCCCTCTCTTCCTGTTTGTTTCTGTGAGACAGAGACTTGCCATGTGCCTTGGGCTGTCCAGGAATTTGTGATCTTCCTGAGTGCTAAGAGGACTACAAGGGTGTGTCACCACACCTGACTGTGAATTATCATTTTTAGCTCTTTGTGCTGAATGTCTGATTTATTCAGAAAGTATGTATTATATGCTTCCTATGATGTAGAAAGTATATTGGGCATTGGAAATGCAGCATTGAACAAAAGAGACAAAATTTTCAGTCTTTACTATTGATATTGGATGCCAAAAAACACCTGTCTTGATAGAGACAATTAAGAGCAAATGACATTCAGAAAGTATGTCATTTGAAAAATGAAACACTTTGTAATAAATAAATTTACAAGCAACATATTCCTTATTACACATTTTAACTAGTGCAAAGTATAAAATTTACTTTTTTGTGTGTGTTTTCATGTATGTACATGTTCATGTGTGTTCTGGTACATATGTGTGAGACCAGAGGTCACCTTCAGGACAGACATCTACCTTGTTTTTTGAGACAGAGCCTCTCACTTCTGCTGATGGAGCCCCAGGGATCTTCCTGTTTCTGCCTCCAGTACTGACTTCTTAACTGTGCTCTAGGGATAGAACCTGGGCACTCATGCTTGCATGGCAAGCACTGAAACCGTCTCTCCAATGCAGTTTTAAGTACAGAAGGTCTCTGCTACATATTTGTTTCTGTATCCATATAACTTATAGGAAAAGCAATAAATTGGTCAATCCTAAACAAAATTTCCAGTCTTTAAAAAAAAAAAAATCATTGTTAGCCGGGCGTGGTGGTACACGCTTTTAATCCCAGAACTTGGGAGCCACAGGCAGGCGGATCTCTGTGAGTTCAAGGCCAGCCTGGTCTATGTAGTGAGTTCCAGGCCAGCTGGGGCTACAGGGAGACACTGTCTCAAAAAAAAAAAAAAAATGTTTATTTTGGTTTGTTCTGTGTGTATTTATTTGTATACACACATTCTTTGTGTGTGTGTGTGTGTGTGTGTGTGTGTATGCACTGTCCAGAGGTTGACTCTGGATGTCTTCAATCATTTCTCCACTTTGGAATGACTTTTGTTAATGGATAGAATCTGGACTAATGCCTTTTCAGTTAACCCCAGCAAAACCGTTTCTGAAAGAGTCCAGTGGGTCTTTGCCAGTTTGTTAAGTAGCATATTATTTTGGCAAGTTATTTAAGCACAGGTGAATTATTGGTGTTTAGACTAAATTTGGTAGAACTATAGACTATCCTAATTAGTGTGGCATATAATTATAATAATGTATTCTTATAAGAAAAACTGTAGATATTTGTCAATTATAGGCAAACATGCAGTAAGCTCTACTTAAAAGTTACAACCCAATTAGAAACTTCCAATATTTTAACCTTTGGCCTTTGATTTTTCTATAAAAAGCAGTTTGATTTTGGATGAGAGCATCAAAATAATACAGAAAGTATGGCTGTTTTCCTTAAAATTAAAAAGTTTGGTATGATTTTTGCAAAAAATAATGAGTAAATAAATATGGTTTTACAAATTTTCATTTCAGTTGCTTTTGCCAAGAGTCAGTTATTTGACATTGGTAACTGACAAAGTGAAAAAGCACTTTCAGAAGGTTATGAGACAAGAAGACGTTAGTGAGATATGGTTTGAATATGAAGGCACCCCCCTGAAATGGTGAGTGACTTTTTCTTCATTGTTAAGCATTAAGTATATGCTAGCTTTGAGAAGGCATGTTGCCCTGAAAAAGTTATACAAAGTTCCATAAAGAAAGAAGTGAAGCCCAGCATGGTAAACCTGTAATCCCAGCATTCAAGAAGCAGGAGGATTGCCATATGTTTGAGGCTACCTTGGTCCATATAACAAGTACACATTGCAAGACCCTGTCTCAAAAAAAGGGAAAGAACAAAAGGTAAAAGAAATGAGTAGTCTATCTTGTAAATAAACTCTCTCACACTGCATTAACTAGACATGGTCAGGCATACCTGTAATCCCAGCACTTAGGAGGTGAGGCCAGGGATCAGAAGTTTAAGGTCATCCTTGGCTACATAATGAATTTGGTCTGGGCTACAAGAGACCCTGTATCCAA